AAGTAAACGGACGAAGACAACAATAAAACGTTAATAAGAATTATCACCTCACATAGGTCAGGACTGTAATAATACTAGGAAACTTTGCCTTTCAGCAGACCTATTTATAGAAAAGCAGCTAATCCACTGCGTAATTAAATCCGGTGAGATTTACTATGCTTCGACAATTCTGCCTTTTTGAAATTTTGCGAGGCAAAGTGAACATAGATAAAACAGTTGCAAGATCAGATACATTTTTGAGTGCTAAACAGACATTAAACAAAATAAGTCGGACATTTGTTTCTTCCTTTCAACATTACTACTTTGTAAGAATTTTTGTAGTAACTTATTTTAAATTAGGTCCCCGTTCCACCACGAAAGGTAGACTTTCTAGACTCTTTTAACGAACACAGCTGTTTGTTTGCTTCAGACTTATTAGTTCAGTTTTGTAAGATTACAGTTAAAATAAACAATGAATGCCTATATCGTTTTAGGAGTAGGCTATCCTTCGACTTGTCTATGTAACATTTGAATAAAGTGGTCAAACGCTTGGTAAGAGAGCCTTTCTCTAAATTACTCTCCGTCTTCATAAGTTCATCGTCAACTTTGGAGTTTGGCTGAAAGAAAGGTCTTCAAACACTAAAATTTCTCTCTTGCACTAAAAGTTTCCTAATCATCCTACCGTTAGGTCCATGCTTAGACTTTACGCCTTCTATTTTGCTCACTAGATCTTTGCAGTAATGAGAATGGGATTTGTCTAAACATCACAAACTGTTTAAAACTTCACCTCCTTAAAATCTTCTATCGCTCTTTATGGTACTCGCCAAGTGTTGCCTTGCTTGTTATGAAAGCCTTAAGAAGGCAGTGTTGGAGATTTATTTTAAATTCCAATAACAGCTTCAAGGGTGAAGTACCTAAAAATGGAACTTATTTTCCTTTGCTTATTGAAACGTTACAGATCCTCAACTCCATTGCGTCCCTCGGCCTTGGTGCTTTTCTCTTCGCTGCTACTCTTTTGGATTCCACTCGTGCTCCTCTGGCCGTATTGTTCTTATGCTTGAGCATGGCATCTGCAGGTTCGTGTAGCTGAGATCCTAAATCATTACTTTCCACATAACCATGGAGGAGAAACTGTTTGAATCAGGACTCCACACTCCTGGATGTCAAACGGCCCTTGTTTCTTTGGCTCCCGCTTACTCTGGTGCCATCACAGGATTCGCCTTTTTCTTTGTTGCTTGTTCTGGGATTGTAAACCCCATCATGACAAAGTGGATAGCACAGGTATATCATCTCTCAACTGAATCACAACCCTAGAGATCGTCTTCTCAAATTTGACTCATTTGTGCGAAAGTCAAACTGACTAAGTCGACACCCCTTGAAATCTCTTCCTGAAATTTCACGGTGTCGATTTTACAAAAGAATGACTTCTGA